TGACCTGGGCTCGATTCCGGGCCGATGCATCGCTATTTTTATAAAAGCTCACGCGTGCTGTTACGCAATATTGCATGCCATGAATGCCGGAGTAAGCAAATGGCGTCGGTGGTTCAGTGGTAGAATACTCGCCTGCCACGCGGGTGACCCGGGTTCGATTCCCGGCCGACGCATCGTTTATTTTAGAAAAGTTCCTGCGTGCTATTCCGCAATATTGCATGTCATGAATGCAGGAGTAAGCAAATGGCGTTGGTGGTTCAGTGGTAGAATACTCACCTGCCACGCGGGTGACCCGGGTTCGATTCCCGGCCGACGCATTGTTATTTTTAGAAAAGCTCACACGTGCTGTTACGCCATATTGCATGTCATGAATGCCGGAGTAAGCAAATGGCGTCTGTGGTTTAGTGGTAGAATACTCGCCTGCCACGCGGCTGACCCGGGCTCGATTCCCGGCCGACACATCGTTTATTTCAAAAACGTTCTTGCGTGCCTCTCCGCAATATTGCATGTCATGAATGCAGGAGTAAGCAAATGGCGTCGGTGGTTCAGTGGTAAAATACTTGCCTGCCACGCGGGTGACCCGGGTTACATTCCCGGCCGACGCATTGTTATTTTTAGAAAAGCTCACGCGTGCTGTTACGCTATAATGCATACCATGAATGCAGGAGTAAGCAAATGGCCTCGGTGGTTCAGTGGTAGAAAACTCGCCTGCCACGCAGGTGGCCCGTGTTCGATTCTCGACCGACTGCAACGCAGGTGTCCCGGGTTCAATTCTCGGCCGACGCAACGTTTATTTTAGAAACGTTCCTGCCTGCTATTCCGCAATATTGCACGCCATGAATGCAGGAGCCAGCAAACGGCGTCGGTGGTTCAGTGGTAGAATACTCGCCTGCCACGCGGGTGACCCGGTTCGATTCCCGGCCGACGCATCGTTTATTTTAAAAAGTTCCTGCGTGCTATTTCGCAATATTGCGCGCCATGAATGCAGGAGCCAGCAAATGGCGTCGGTGGTTCAGTGGTAGAATACTCGCCTGCCACGCGGGTGACCCGGTTCGATTCCCGGCCGACGCATCGTTATTTTTAGAAAAGCTCATGCATGCTGTTACGCAATATCGCATGCCATGAATGCAGGAGCAAGCAAATGGCGTCAGTAGCTCCGTGGCAGTATACTCGCCTGCCACGCGGGTGACCCAGGTTCGATTCCCGGCCGACGCATCGTTATTTTTAGAAAAGCTCACGCGTGCTGTTACGCTATACATGCATGCCATGTATAGCGTGCTGTTACGCTATACATGCATGCCATGTATTCTGGTGCAAGTAAATGGCATCGGTGATTCAGTGGTAGAATACTCGCCTGCCACGCGGGTGACCCGGGTTCGATTCTCGGCCGACGCATCGTTATCTTTAGAAAAGCTCTCGCGTGCTGTTACGCAATATTGCATGCCATGAATGCGGGAGTAAGCAAATGGCGTCGCTGGTTCAGTGGTAGAATACCCACCTGCCACGCGGGTGACCCGCGTTCGATTCCCGGCCGACGCATCGTTATTTTTAGAAAAGCTCACACGTGCTGTTACGCCATATTGCATGTCATGAATGCCGGGGTGAGCAAATGGCGTCGGTGGTTTAGTGGTAGAATACTCGCCTGCCACGCAGGTGGCCCGTGTTCGATTCCCGACCGACTGCAACGCAGGTGTGCCGGGTTCAATTCTCGGCCGACGCAACGTTTATTTTAGAAAAGTTCCTGCGTGCTATTTCGCAATATTGCACGCCATGAATGCAGGAGAAAGCAAACGGCGTCGGTGGTTCAGTGGTAGCATACTCGCCTGCCACGCGGGTGACCCGGGTTCGATTCCCGGCCGACGCATCGTTTATTTTAGAAAAGTTCCTGCCTGCTATTTCGCAATATTGCACGCCATGAATGCAGGAGCCAGCAAACGGCGTCGGTGGTTCAATGGTAGAATACTCGCCTGCCACGCGGGTGACCCGGGTTCGATTCCCGGCTGACGCATTGTTATTTTTAGAAAAGCTCACACGTGCTGTTACGCCATATTGCATGTCATGAATGCCGGGGTGAGCAATTGGCGTCGGTGGTTTAGTGGTAGAATACACGCCTGCCACGACGGCTGACCCGGGCTCGATTCCCTGCCGACACATCGTTTATTTAAAAACGTTTTGCGTGCCTTTCCGCAATATTGCATGTCATGAATGCAGGAAAAAGCAAATGGCGTCGGTGGTTCAGTGGTAAAATACTTGCCTGCCATGCGGTTGACCTGGGCTCGATTCCGGGCCGATGCATCGCTATTTTTATAAAAGCTCACGTGTGCTGGTACGCAATATCGCATGCCATGAATGCCGGTGTAAGCAAATGGCGTCGGTGGTTCAGTGGTAGAATACTCGCCTGCCACGCGGGTGACCCGGGTTCGATTCCTGGCCGACGCATTGTTATTTTTAGAAAAACTCACGCGTGCTGTTACGCTATATATGCATGCCATGAATGCAGCAGAAAGCAAATGGCGTCGGTGGTTCACTGGTAGAATACTCGCCTGCCACGCGGGTGACCCGGGTTCGAATCCCGGCCGACGCATCGTTATTTTTAGAAAAGCTCACGCATGCTGTTACGCAATATTGCATGCCATGAATGCAGGAGCCAACCAAACGGCGTCGGTGGTTCAATGGTAGAATAATCACCTTGCTACGCGGGTGACCCGGGTTCAATTCCCGCTGACGCATTGTTATTTTAGAAAAGCTCACCACGTCTGTTACGCCATATTGCATGTCATAAATCCGGAGTAAGCAAATGGCGTTGGTGGTTCAGTGGTAGAATACTCGGCTGCCACGCGGTGACCGGGCTCGATTCCCGGCCGACGCATCGTTATTTTCAAAAAAAACTCACGTGTGCGTGTTACGCAATATCGCATGCCATGAATGCCGAGTAAGCAAATATGGCGTCGGTGGTTCAGTGGTAGAATACTCGCCTGCCACGAGGGTGACCCGGGTTTGATTCCCGGCCGACGCATCGTTATTTTTAGAAAAGCTCATGCATGCTGTTACGCAATATTGCATGCCATGAATGCAGGAGTAAGCAATTGGCATTGGTGGTTCAGTGGTAGAATACTCGCTTGCCACGCGGTTGAACCAGGTTCGATTCCCGGCCGACGCATCCTTCATTTTAAAAAAGTTCCTGCGTGCTATTCCGCAATATTGCATGTCATGATTGCAGGAGTAAGCACATGGCGTTGGTGGTTCAGTGGTAGAATACTCACCTGCCGCGTGGGTGACCCGGGTTCGATTCCCGGCCAACGCATAGTTATTTTTAGAAAAGCTCACGCATGCTGTTACGCTATATATGCATGCCATGATTGCAGGAGCAAGCAGATGGCGTTGGTGGTTCAGTGGTAGAATACTCGCCTGCCACGCGGGTGACCCGGGTTCTATTCCCGACCGACGCATCATTATTTTCAGAAAAGCTCGCGCGTACTGTTACGCTATATATGCATGCCATGAATGCAGGAGCAAGCAAATGGCGTCGGTGGTTCCGTGGTTGAATACTCGCCTGCCTCGCCGGTCACCCGGGTTCGATTCTCGGAGGACGCATCGTTATTGTTAGAAAAGCTCACGCGTGCTGTTACGCAATATTGCATGCCATGAATGCAGGAGTAAGCAATTGGCGTTGGTGGTTCAGTTGTAGAATACTCGCCTGCCAACCGGTTGACCCAGGTTCGATTCCCGGCCGACGCATTGTTATTTTCAGAAAAACTCACGCGTGCTGTTACGCTATATATGCATGCCATGAATGCAGGAGTAAGCAAATGGCGTCGGTGGTTTCATGGTTTAATACTCGCCTGCCACGCTGGAGACCCGGATTCAATTCTCGGCCGACGCATCGTTATTTTCAGAAAAGTTCACGCGTGCTGTTACGCTATATATGCATGCCATAAATGCATGAGCAAGCAAATGGCGTTGGTGGTTCAGTTGTAGAATACTCGCCTGCCACGCGGATGACCCAGATTCGATTCCCGGTCGACGCATCGTTATTTTTACAAAAGCTCACGCGTGCTGTTACGCAATAATGCATACCATGAATGCAGGAGTAAGCAAATGGCCTCGGTCGTTCAGTGGTAGAAAACTCGCCTGCAACGCAGGTGGCCCGTGTTCGATTCCCGACCGACTGCAACGCAGGTGTCCCGGGTACAATTCTCGGCCGACGCAATGTTTATTTTAGAAAAGTTCCTGCGTGCTATTTCGCAATATTGCACGCCATGAATGCAGGAGAAAGCAAACGGCGTCGGTGGTTCAGTGGCAGAATACTTGCCTGCCACGCGGGTGACCCGGGTTCGATTCCCGGCCGATGCATCGTTTATTTTAGAAAAGTTCCTGCCTGCTATTTCGCAATATTGCACGCCATGAGTGCAGGAGCCAGGACGGCGTCGGTGGTTCAATGGTAGTATACTCGCCTGCCACGTGGGTGACCCGGGTTCAATTACCGGCTGACGCATTGTTATTTTTAGAAAAGCTCACACGTGCTGTTACGCCATATTGCATGTCATGAATGCAGGAGCAAGCAAATGGCGTCGGTGGTTTAGTGGTAGAATACACGCCTGCCACGCGGCTGACCCGGGCTCGATTCCCGGCCGACACTTCGTTTATTTTAAAAACGTTTTTGCGTGCCTTTCCGCAATATTGCATGTCATGAATGCAGGAGTAAGCAAATGGCGTCGGTGGTTCAGTGGTAAAATACTTGCCTGCCATGCGGTTGACCTGGGCTCGATTCCGGGCCGATGCATCGCTCTTTTTATAAAAGCTCACGTGTGCTGGTACGCAATATCGCATGCCATGAATGCCGGTGTAAGCAAATGGCGCCGGTGGTTCAGTGGTAGAATACTCGCCTGCCACGCGGGTGACCCGGGTTCGATTCCCGGCCGACGCATCCTTCATTTTAGAAAAGTTCCTGCGTGCTATTCCGCAATATTGCATGTCATGATTGCAGAAGTAAGCAAATGGCGTTGGTGGTTCTGTGGTAGAGTACTCACCTGCTACGTGGGTGACCCGGGTTCGATTCCCGGCCAACGCATAGTTATTTTTAGAAAAGCTCACGCATGCTGTTACGCTATATATGCATCGGTGGTTCACGCATGCTGTTACGCTATATATGCATCGGTGGTTCAGTGGTAGAATACTCGCCTGCCACGCGGGTGACCCGACTTCAATTCTAGGCGACGCTTTGTTAATTTCAGAAAAGCTCACACGTGCTGTTACGAATAATTGCATGTCATGAATGCAGGAGTATGGAAGTGGCGTCGGTGGTTTCAAGGTATAATACTCGCCTGCCACGCTGGTGACCCGGGTTCGATTCTCGGCCGACGCATCGTTATTTTCAGAAAAGTTCACGAGTGCTGTTACGCTATATTTGCATGCCATGAATGCATGAGCAAGCAAATGGCGTTGGTGGTTCAGTGGTAGAATACTCGCCTGCCACGCGGGTGACCCAGGTTCGATTCCCGGCCGACGCATCGTTATTTTTAGAAAAGCTCACGCGTGCTGTTACGCAATAATGCATGCCATGAATGCAGGAGTAAGCAAATGGCCTCAGTGGTTCAGTGGTGGAATACTCGCCTGCCATGCAGGTGGCCCGTGTTCGATTCCCGACCGACTGCCATGCAGGCGTCCCGGGTTCGATTCCCGGCCGACGCAACGTTTATTTTGGAAAAGTTCCTGCGTGCTATTCCGCAATATTGCACGCCATGAATGCAGGAGAAAGCAAACGGCGTCGGTGGTTCAGTGGCAGCATACTCGCTTGCACGCGGGTGGCCCGGGTTCAATTCCCGGTCGACGCATCGCTATTTTTAGAAAAGCTCACGCGTGCTGTTACGCAATATTGCATGCCATGAATGCAGGAGTAAGCAAACGGCGTCGGTGGTTCAGTGGCAGAATACTCGCCTGCCACGCGGGTGACCCTGGTTCGATTCCCGGCCGACGCATCGTTTATTTTAGAAAAGTTCCTGTCTGCTATTCCGCAATATTGCATGCCATGAATGCAAGAGCCCGCCAACGGCGTCGGTGGTTCAAAGGTAGAATACTCGCCTGCCACGCGGGTGACCCGGGTTCGATTCCCGTCTGAGGCATTGTTATTTTTAGAAAAGCTCACACGTGCTGTTGCGCCATATTGCATGTCATGAATGCCGGAGTAAGCAAATGGCAGCGGTGGTTCAGTGGTAGAATACTCGCCTGCCACGAGGGTGACCCGTGTTGGATTCGCGGCCGAAGCATCGTTTATTTTAGAAACGTTCCTGCCTGCTATTTCGCAATATTGCGCGCCATGAATGCAGGAGCAAGCAAATGGCGTCGGTGGTTCCGTGGTTGAATACTCGCCTGCCTCGCGGGTCACCCGGGTTCGATTGTCGGAGGACGCATCGTTATTGTAGAAAGTTCACAGCGTGCTGTTACGCTATATATGCATGCCATGAATGCATGAGCAAGCAAATGGCGTTGGTGGTTCAGTTGTAGAATACTCGCCTGCCACGCGGATGACCCAGATTCGATTCCCGGTCGACGCATCGTTATTTTTAGAAAAGCTCACGCGTGCTGTTACGCAATAATGCATACCATGAATGCAGGAGTAAGCAAATGGCCTCGGTCGTTCAGTGGTAGAAAACTCGCCTGCCACGCAGGTGGCCCGTGTTCGATTCTCGACCGACTGCAACGCAGGTGTCCCGGGTTCAATTCTCGGCCGACGCAACGTTTATTTTAGAAAAGTTCCTGCGTGCTATTTCGCAATATTGCACGCCATGAATGCAGGAGAAAGCAAACGGCATCGGTGGTTCAGTGGTAGCATACTCACCTGCCACGCGGGTGACCCGGGTTCGATTCCCGGCCGACGCATCGTTTATTTTAGAAAAGTTCCTGCCTGCTATTTCGCAATATTGCACGCCATGAGTGCAGCAGCCAGCAAACGGCGTCGGTGGTTCAATGGTAGAATACTCGCCTGCCACGCGGGTGACCCGGGTTCGATTCCCGGCTGACGCATTGTTATTTTTAGAAAAGCTCACACGTGCTGTTACGCCATATTGCATGTCATGAATGCCGGGGTGAGCAAATGGCGTCGGTGGTTTAGTGGTAGAATACACGCCTGCCACGCGGCTGACACGGGCTCGATTCCCGGCCGACACATCGTTTATATTAAAAACGTTTTTGCGTGCCTTTCCGCAATATTGCATGTCATGAATGCAGGAAAAAGCAAATGGCGTCGGTGGTTCAGTGGTAAAATACTTGCCTGCCATGCGGTTGACCTGGGCTCGATTCCGGGCCGATGCATCGCTATTTTTATAAAAGCTCACGTGTGCTGGTACGCAATATCGCATGCCATGAATGCCGGTGTAAGCAAATGGCGTCGGTGGTTCAGTGGTAGAATACTCGCCTGCCACGCGGGTGACCCGGGTTCGATTCCTGGCCGACGCATTGTTATTTTTAGAAAAACTCACGCGTGCTGTTACGCTATATAGCGGTGGTTCAGTGGTAGAATACTCGCCTGCCACGAGGGTGACCCGTGTTGGATTCGCGGCCGAAGCATCGTTTATTTTAGAAACGTTCCTGCCTGCTATTTCGCAATATTGCGCGCCATGAATGCAGGAGCAAGCAAATGGCGTCGGTGGTTCCGTGGTTGAATACTCGCCTGCCTCGCGGGTCACCCGGGTTCGATTGTCGGAGGACGCATCGTTATTGTTAGAAAAGTTCACGCGTGCTGTTACGCTATATATGCATGCCATGAATGCATGAGCAAGCAAATGGCGTTGGTGGTTCAGTTGTAGAATACTCGCCTGCCACGCGGATGACCCAGATTCGATTCCCGGTCGACGCATCGTTATTTTTAGAAAAGCTCACGCGTGCTGTTACGCAATATTGCATGCCATGAATGCAGGAGTAAGCAAATGGCCTCGGTCGTTCAGTGGTAGAAAACTCGCCTGCCACGCAGGTGGCCCGTGTTCGATTCCCGACCGACTGCAACGCAGGTGTCCCGGGTTCAATTCTCGGCCGACGCAACGTTTATTTTAGAAAAGTTCCTGCGTGCTATTTCGCAATATTGCACGCCATGAATGCAGGAGAAAGCAAACGGCGTCGGTGGTTCAGTGGCAGCATACTCGCCTGCCACGAGGGTGACCCGTGTTGGATTCGCGGCCGAAGCATCGTTTATTTTAGAAAAGTTCCTGCCTGCTATTCCGCAATATTGCACGCCATGAATGCAGGAGCCAGCAAACGGCGTCGGTGGTTCAATGGTAGAATACTCGCCTGCCACGCGGGTGACCCGGGTTCGATTCCCGGCTGACGCATTGTTATTTTTAGAAAAGCTCACACGTGCTGTTACGCCATATTGCATGTCATGAATGCCGGAGTAAGCAAATGGCGTCGGTGGTTCAGTGGTAGAATACTCGCCTGCCACGCGGCTGACCCGGGCTCGATTCCCGGCCGACGCATCGTTTATTTTAAAACGTTCCTGCGTGCTATTTCACAATATTGCCCGCCATGAATGCAGGAGAAAGCAAACGGCGTCGGTGGTTCAGTGGTAAAATACTTGCCTGCCATGCGGTTGACCTGGGCTCGATTCCGGGCCGATGCATCGCTATTTTTATAAAAGCTCACGTGTGCTGGTACGC